TATATATAATTTAAATCTGAATGTAAAATGAATCTTAAATTTGGGTGAAAATAGCATATTAAAATTAGAGATTTAATTAAAAGTATTTAATTGGTGTAAAAAAATAGAAAGTATTTAAATAAATTAAGAGGATAATTAGCATATTAAAAATAATTATCATTTTGAATTAACGAAATTTTAACGGTATTAATGTGTAAAAGATTTAATTACATATTTTTAAACTATAAAGTATTCTTTAAAATGTTTTTAACTATACAGATTTGGTAAAACTACTAGTCTTACATATTAGTTTAACCAAAAAGTTTTTTACACCACTGTAAGTGCATATATATGTTTTTTACACCAAGTCCACATACTAATTTACTCTATTCTGTATTTATTATATTTATTTTTTTCATAATAATCAATAGTTCTTATTTCGTACACGTACTCCTCCTATCTCTCTCTCTATATATAAAGAAGTTATTAATTAATTAAATAATTAAGTTTGGTACTTGCCATCGGAGGCAAATTGGTGGTTCATGGGTACGTGTGAGAAAAATTTGATAATTGCAATTTAATACAGGAAACCACTTGGTCCCACCACAGATCATGCAATCTCCTTGCTAATCTGGTAATCATTTAATAACACATACCTTTCTTCCTTCTAGAGCAACGTTTAATTATTTTATATCATTATTAGTTCGATCATAATACTTCACCTTATTATATTATCAAAGTTGATTAAAAAAAACAATTTACAACTCTCTTGGGCTTCTGGAGTCATTACCAATTAAAAAGGAAAGAATGCAAATTTTATGTACACCTGCTGTTTACTAATTGATTGTTAATGATTACAGGATGTTGATACTTTGTTATTTTTTACACTGACAATGATAGTAGTTTTTCTTTAACAAGTGCAATTTGTGATCATGCAGCCTAAAGCATAAGGTTACATTATGTATCGTCATACCTACTACACAAAGTTATTTGTCCCACGTTTCAATTATAATTACCTTTATTTGAAGTTTTGCGTTTGAACTTAATGTGAAAACTTGGGACTTGCCTCATCTGAGGTTAATTTATAATAACATATAAATGGATACTCCATTAATTTGGTAACTATTTTTAGTTTATGTTTTTACATAAATTATTTTATTAAAACTATTTTTTCTTATGAGTAATCTCTCACTCTTTTTGTTTTTGTTTTGTTTTTTTTTTCT